GATGACTCACTGAAACAAACCCTCAGAGTTGGATCAGCTCAGAAGAGAAACATAAAGAACCATGTTAGTAACAGAAATGTATCCAGAAGAGAAACACGTATCTGGGAGACCAACTACAGTTTGTTGTGATAGGTAACTGACATGCATCATGTAAATCAATGCTTTAAAAAAACACACAAAATGCCCTGGGTAGTTCCTAACTTATATGTAAATCTAATAACTGCAAAAATCTCTTCTCCATCTTAGCGATGGGAGGTTCAGAGCCTGATGAACCACAGGAGGGGCACGGGGAGGAGAAACCAAGCTGTTACCATTTTGAAACCAAGTTTTATCTGAAGGGGGTGCAAGCATGAGCTGTCACTTCTTGGAAAAAGAGGGAAAGCCTTTCACGCTGACTTAGGGGCTAGGACCTGGTGTTCCGCTCCATCTTGTCCAAGTACTCCCGAACCAGCCCTGTCGCTTGGATGATGCCTCGTTTCAGTCTCTCCATTACACTCTTGCTGCCCGCGTATGTGAGTCAGATCTCCTTCCCTAGTTCTTCGATTATGACCAGCAGCTCAGCATATTTGCTCTGGGCACCTGGCTGTTCTCTGTTCCCTGCATGTTAGAGATGGTGGTCCTAGTCACTCAGCAGCTGGCGATACTGGGAAGATGTTGCCATGCTGGTGGAAGGCGGGTGAATGCTCCCAGAGGCCTTGATGGAGGTGGCGGGTATGTGCATGGTCAAGTTTGGTTTGTAAGACATCCCACCCCCCGTCCCCCACCCCCCGCTGCGGGGTGCAGGCCCCATGGGACAGCATCGGCAGCGGTGGCGGTGAGGTCAGGAGGTGGCGAGGTGGGCCTGGGGGCTGTGTGCCCGTCTGTGCGCCTGCCCAGCTCCTGCACACTTTTTGTTGTTGACAGCTCAGGCGCACTGGCAAATATGGCTGTCCCCTCACTCTGACACTGTCGTAGTATCATGATATTTCAGTTTCTTGATGTTCTGCTTATGCTGCTCAATTTCTTTCTGCAGATGCTCAAATCTCCTTTTTATGATGAGTGATCTCTTCTTCATGTTATTTCTTCAAGGCTGCCAGCTGTTCTTTAATCCGCTCTGGGAAGTATCCTTCCTCTTCAGCCTTCTCTTTTTTTGTGAAGGTCCCAATGGCTTCCCTGATTGTGCTTGCTTTGAAGCTGAAATTATCTGAGCATTGCAGCCAAAGCCTCTGGCTTGCATGGCCCTCACCCTCCACACTTCAAGCCACAGATATGCCACTGACGCAGAGACTGCCCTGGTTGTCAGTGCCGCACAGTTCCAGACCACCCCACTTAGTTTTAAATGCAAACCTGCCTTGGACAGGCCTTGAAGGTCTTTTTTCCATGGTGATCACAGGGTAGCAGGCCAGCCGGTACCCACAGCCCTGGGAGGTCCGGGGGTGCCAGCTGGTTGGCTGGGGCTCTCTCTGCCTCTGATCGCCATGATGTTCATGGAGAAACAGGCCAGCCGGCACCCATCTGTTGCCTGAAGCCTGGGTTTCCGATCCCTTTGCCTCTCAGCATTGCGGCTACATATGCAAATTAACCGCCATCTTTGTTGGTGGTTAATCGCCATCTTGGCTGGCAGTTAATTTGCATATCTCCCTGATTAGCCCATGGGAAAGGTGACGAAGTTACGGCTAATTACCATGTTTCTCTTTTATTAGATAGGATTTTAAAGTTCACTTAAGACCGAGTTTCTTTAAAGTAATATCTAAAATACATTTTGTTCCTACGCACTTAAAAAAAAAAGCCCTGCCTAAGGATAGATATAATTTTTGCAGAGAGAGGAAAAAGGGATATTGTGAGAGAGAATGAGATAAAGAGAAAGAAATATCAATATAAGAGAGACACTTGGGATCAAACACACTACCTAGGTATGTGTCCTGTCCATGAATTAAACCTGAAACCTTTTGGTGTACAGGATGACACTCTAATCAACTGAGACACCTGAGCTTATGTACTGAGAGTATTTATAATCTTCAAAATTGAAAAGTGTATCTATCTCATATTCAGACACTGCTCTGTCCTGTACACCCACTACTTTTTCCTCATTTTACAATCCTGGCAGCAGTTTTGACAGTTAATCCAAACTGAACTTCTGAGATTGTAAGTCATGAAAGTTGTCTCATATTTTCTAATAAATAAATAACAATATTGATATGATACCAGAGAGGCTTAAAAATAGCCAAATAAAGAAAATGTGATTTCTCAGAAAACCACAGTGGGATAGAGGAAAGAATGATTAAACTGTAAATTTTTACCATCTCTATAATAACAACAGAAAAGAAAAAGAGGGTTTCTACTAACTACTTTAAGGTATACTACCTTACCATAATTTGCTCCAGATCCAAAACATGTTTCTTTCCATAAAATGAACAGATAGAAATTGAAGAATGTCCTATTGTTAAATTTATTATTATTTTGATTTAATATATAATTTCAAATATAAATGTAAATGGATTTTAAAGAATGTTTACAGTTATTTTATGTATAAAATTACAAATTCTGGAGAAAGCATATCTATTTGAAAATTAGATTAATTATTTATATATGGACAATGACACATGTTAAAAGGCTTTAAAAGACAAAAATACAAACAAAACCCTAAACAATGAGGTACCATCTCACACGTGTCAGAATGACTATCAACAACAAATCAACAAATGACAAGTGCTGGAGAGGATGCGGAGAAAAAGGAACACTCGTGCACTGCTGGTGGTAATGCAGACTGGTGCAGCCACTATGGAAGACAGTATGGAGTTTCCTCAAAACGTTAAAAATGGAACTCCCATTTGACCCAGTGATCCCACATCTAGGAATATATCTCAAGAAACCAGAAACACCAATCAGAAAGGATATATGCGAGACTGTCAAACTACAGTGGAAAGGCTAGGGAGTGTGGGGGGCGTGGGTAAGAGATCAACCAAAGGACTTGTATGCATGTATATAAGCATAACCAATGGACACAAGACACTGGAGGGTAAGGGAGGTCAGGAAAGGTCAAGGGGGAAAAAGGAGACATATGTAATACTCTTTGTAATACTTTAAGCAATAAAACAAAATTTAAAAAATAACAATAATAAAGACAATGCTCCTGAACCAAGTGAAAAACAAACAAACAAAGAAACAAAAAAAAAACCTAGAGAAACATTCATGGGACATTAAATCATTAAAACATGGTATCATAAAACCTACAGTTACATTTCATAGGCTGTATTTAAGAGCAGGTCGACCCAGCTGTAAAATAATTATTTAGCTTTGGGGATTAGGCCTTAGAGCTATGATGGTTAGAAGCTGTTTTAAATACTCTATGTCCTACACTTTGATTAATATTCTTTTCTGAGCAACAAAATTTCATGGAAATATCACATTGTTATATTTTCTATAGTAACACATTTACCCAGGACCCATGGTAATATCATCCACTCGACGATGGTTGGTGGTGGACCTTGTCTGTTCAAATCAGACCTGTCGATGTGTTGAGAGGCAAGCAACAGCAGAAACAAAAAAGTCAAGTAGGATGCTGTATGGCAGATAAACTTGATAAATGGTTTTCTGATAAATAGTCCAAGAGGGCTTTTAGGAGCTATAAGGTAGCATACAGAGAAGACGGGAAAAAGAAGTCCTATTATGAAACATGTCGCCATCTTCACTGCCCAGTGTCTTCTTCTCCACCCTGGGAACTCGTCATACCAGCGAGAGGCAAGCAGTTGTTGACAATTGGGCTGGGCAACAAACTAAATGGAAAGGAAGAGGAAAAGAAAGATTCAGTGTTACATGTAAAGTCTTCAGTTCATTAATAACCTTATTAATCAGTCAATCCAATAAATTTAATTTAAAAAATTTTTAAAGAACACAAAATTATCTTTAAAGTCAGAAGTTCTATTTTTTTTAAATATATATTTTTATTGACTTCAGAGAGGAAGAGAGAGGGAGAAAGAGATAGAAACATCAATTATGAGAGAGAATCATTGATTGGCTGCCTCCTGCATGTTCCTTACTGGGGATGGAGCTGCAGAATCAAACCCCCATTGGGCTGGCCAGCTGGACCCCACCCATGCATGAATTCATGCACTGGGCCTCTAGTATGGCATAAAATAAAAATGTTAAAAATAATTAAAAAATTAAAAATAAATAAAAATATTAATAGGGGTTATTTCTTGCTTAGTGGTTATTTTCCAGCTATGACATACACTTATATTTCATTTTTTATTTGCATGTACTTTCAACATTTTCTATAATAAGCTCTTAAGTACTTTTATCATCTGGAAAAAACAAATATACTTTTATTTGAATTGAGGCAATAAGAAAAACATACATGAAATCATTTTTGGATTACCAGAATGTAAATCATCATAGCTGAAATTGGTGGAAATAAAGCAAATTCTTTACCTAAGTATAATCAATTACCATAAACAAAACATTTCACAAACATGACATTGTTTTTTATCCTGGTATCATGTTTGAGATATAGCATGGATCTTACTTTATTTTAGAATGAGAATAGAGGAAGTTTTAAGAGGTCAGTAAATTTATTCAAGATTACATACCTAGTAAATGATGAAATGTTTAACTACCTGGTCCAGGAATTTTTTTTTTTCTGCACACTACATTTCTCGTTGGAACTGACAACTAAACATTATATAAATTCAGATAAATTTATCTCTTTTGGATGGAAATATCTGAGAACATTTTCTATTGGGTAGAGGTGTTAAGCAGAAGAGAGAAGGGAAGACAATTTAAGGCAACATAAGTGGGAGAGAGAGCATATCCTAGTGAAAAAGTGTATGGTGTGCTTAAGGGATGACCATGGGTAGTTTCGACTGTAGCAGAAGCTTTGTTAGGACTGTAGGAAAGTTCTGTTGGCATAAAAAAATAAGCCCACCCTATGCTTTTAAAAGTAAAACATTTTTATGTACACTTTTCATAAACCTTATAACAAATCAGAATGTAGACATCAACATTTCTAATATTCAGATGTTAAGAAATTTTTTCAAAATTTGGAGATAGGTAAAAAGATGACTCCATATCCTTTTGAGGTTATAGTGTTTAACAGGATCATCTATTCCTCCTGGGCATTATGTTCTATATCATCTACTAGACAAATAGGAGAAAGAAAAACTGAAAAAAGAGGTTGTACATCTTAGGAAAAACAGAAAGAGATTCCAAGATGGCTGCAGAGTAGCTGGAAACTCTGCTGGCTTTCAACACTGGATCAGACATGTGGCTAAACTGTAGAGCAATCAGTTTGGGAAAAACAGTTGAAGTGTAGCTGATCTGAAATATTGAGAGCACGGACCATGGAGGAAGGATAGGAGGAGACAGGAAGAAGGTGAGCCAAGTCGTGCATGTGTGGGCTGGGAAGCCAGAGGGATATTGTGGCTGCAGACCACCTGTCCTTAGGAGCATGGGGTCTCAGCCCATGCAGCTATCCCCAACCCATAGCAACAGGGAAGAGAAGGGGTGTCCAGGTAGCATCAGGCGATGGGTATCAGTGGGGATATTTAGTCCATCTGGGAGACTCAGACCTGACCATCCCAGGCAAAGAGCAATTTCTTTGTTACAACACCAGCCTGGGAAGTTCACTACAATCTGTGTCTGCAGGAGAGACCACATGGAAAAGTTTGGGCTGGTGGAGGGTCTGATCAATACACCCAGCAGTGACTCTGAGGGGTCTTCTATTCCTTGAAATAATTTTGGACAAAGATATAGATGGGGGCTGGACAGTGTGGCTTGGAAAAGAGGATTGGTCTTCCCCACCTTGAACAGGCAGTGCCACTCTCTTCATGTTAGGTCAGCGGTTCTCAACCTGTGGGTCGCGACCCTTTGGGGTCACCTAAGACCATCGGAAAACACATACATAATTACATATTGTTTTTGTGATTAATCACTATGCTTTAATTATGTTCTATTGGTAATAATGAAATTGGGGGTCACCACAACATGAGGAACTAACTGTATTAAAAGGTCGGGGCATTAGGAAGGTTGAGAACCACTGTGCCAGGTCATTATTGTCCCTCTGAGACCCAAGGGCAAGAGGGATGGTACTGGACTATAAATCTATACTCATAGTGCTCGGTCTGACAACAAGGAGGATTCAGACTCTTGCTCTGGTTGGAACCTGAGAGGCCCCACCCAGCAGAAGATGACCACACAGAAACTGTGCAAAGTGGGGCTGATTTTTTTTATCTCCCCCCTACTTGGAACCTGGCAGAGCTGAGGCATTGTGACTGTTTCCTCTGGGTGGGCTTCTGTCCGGGAGACAGACCAGTATGTCTTCAGCTGCATTATGGAGAAGCAGAGGAGATCTCCAGTGAATGCAGCCAACACAGCCCTGGGAAGAAGAGGCAGGACCAGCTCCCCCTCCTACAGGTTAGGGTACCACACACAATGAGATTATGTTTAAACCACCTTGACCAGGTCCCAGATTCCCTTGAAAACTGCAGTTTTGTGGGGGAAGGCAGAGCAACTCAAAGCAAGGACATTCAACACTGGAGACCCAAGTCAGACCCAAACTCTGGGCTCCAGAGGCCCTGCCCCTGGTCTAATTGGGACTATGCTCAGCCCAGTTTCAGTCAGATTGCCGAGGGCCAGCAAGGGACAGTGAATGACATTGGCTTGAACCAAAGAACCTCCCTGGAGGCTCCAGACTGACATACTAATTAGCCAGATTGGGATACATCAGGGTAAAATCCAGCAAGCTCCACAAATAGGAGATTCAAAGGGTAATTGCAGCTGGCACAAAAATCTGCAGAGGAAAGCTCCATTTATTTATATGTTTTTAAAATGTTTTCTTTAGTTTTTTATATTTCATTTTAAAAATGCTTCATTTTGTCTCTATTTTCTTTCATATGTCTTATTTATCTTTCCTTTCCTTATTCTATTTTTCTCTTTCTTTTCCTTATTCTTTTTTATTTTTCTTTCTGTTTCTCTTTCCTTAGTCTATATTTTACTTTATTCATTATTATTTGTAGCTATTACTTCTTTATTATTTTAATTTTAATTTTCTTTTTAATTCTTATTTTTCTTTTCTCTTATTTTCTTTCACATTCTCTTTTTTGCCCTTTGTTTCTTCTTTAATTATTTTGGTCTCTTGTCTTATAGTATTCTTTATTTAAAATTCTTTTTGTTGTTGTTCTTCTTGTTATTAGTTTTATTTTCAGTTTGATCTTGTTTTGCTTTGTTTTGTTCTGTCAGCACCTGTATAACAATTGGCACAATGTGGATGGGATTGAGCCTTGTAGTGAATCAGACCTAGGGCTGAGCCAATCCATGAATGGGACAAGAGTAATTAAGACCAATTTACAATAGGAGAGACCAAATAACCCACACATGGGACATTCCTAGAATACCTAGATCAGCAGATCAAGGAAACTACACCATTGAACTCCACAAGACACCCACTACAGAAGGCTATCCCACCAAAACTGGGAGTCATAGAAGTTGTATCCAATACATAGAAACAAACACAAAGGAACAGTTCTCAAATGAAAGAACAGAAATAATTTCAAGAGAAAGAGCTGAATGAAACAGAGGCAAACAATTTATCAGAGACAGAGTATAAAGTAATGGATTAAAAAATACTCAACAGCATGAAAAAAGAACACATAGAGTCCTAACCAGTTTGGCTCAGTGAATAGAGCATCGGCCTGCGGACTGAAGGGTCCCAGGTTTGATTCCTGTCAAGGGCATGTACCTTGGTTGTGGGCACATCCCCAGTAGGGGGTGTGCAGGAGACAGCTGATCGGTGTTTCTCTCTCTCATCGATGTTTCTAACTCTCTATTTCTCTTCTTTCTTCTCTGTCAAAAATCAATAAGACATATTAAAAAAACACATAGAAATGATGAAATAATATGAAGACCAGCATACCTGAAATAAAGAATGCACTTGAAGGAATAAAAAGTAGATTAGATAAAGCAAAGAATCAAAATAGAAATTAGAAGACAAGATACCAAGAATCATTCAATCAGAGGAGCAAGTTGAAAAAAGTGAAATAACTTGAATATAGTTTAAAGGAACATTGGGGCATAAGACATAACAATATCTACATCTTAGGGATACCAAAGGGAAGTAAAGTGAACGAAAGACAGAGAACCTGTGAGGACATAATGACAGAAAAATACCCTCATCTGGTGACAAAAAAAAGTCACAAAAATTCAAGAAGCACAGATATTCCCAATCAAAATAAACCCAGAGACCTAAACCAAGACACATTATAATTAAAATGGCAAAGATAAAAGACAGAGAGAGAATATTAAGGGCAGCATGAGAGAGACAGATACTTACAAGTGTGTTTTCATAAGGCTGTCAGTTTTTTAGCAGAAATACTACATGCAAGATGGGAATGTCATAAGGTATTCAAAATAATAAAAAGCAATAATCTTAAGTCAAGATTCCTCTATCCAACAAGGCTCTTTTTCAAAATTGAACGTGAAATAAAGAGCTTGCCATAAATAAAAAGTCTAAAGGGGTTTACTAGTACAACCACCAAAACAGCATTGCAAATAAGTTAAAGAGACTGCTATAAAAAGAAGAAATAGAGAGAGCTAGGAACATAGATAATAAAGAATAAAAATAACAATACATAAATACATATCAATAATAACCTTAACTTTAAATAGCTTAAATACTACAATTAAAAGATATAAGATGGCTGAATCGATAAGAAAACATAACCTACACACATGTTGTCTACAAAATACCAATCTCAGAACAAAATACTCACACAGGATGACA